AATCAACAGAGTCAGTGTCTTAACCACTTGAGCCACTGCATCCCCATGCATTTATTATGTACTCTACCATGTACTCAATGCACATGCATTTATTATGTACCCTCAACCATATTGTTAAGATGAATTTACCTTCATTAAAATGTCTTGTTGGCTTGCAATATATTTATATAACTCTGAGCAAAAAAATACTTAAAATTGGACTGTACTAGCAACAAAAACTTGACATTTAAATCGACATTTAAACTGCTACTTTTATTGTTATTTTTCCATATGCTCTCTCATCCCTCCTGCTGCTTCTTAAACCCAAATTCCACAGTTTTGCTCCCCACCTTCCCCTTGGTGCCACTAATCTGCTTCAACAACCCAGATCCTCCTTTCCATCAGAAAACACACACACAAATGAAACCACAACATGGAAAGCAACAGTCTTTTCACCTCTTCTTCTCTCCCCATACACTGGGATCATACCACCCATATGTTTCCACAGCCTTAAACTTTGCTGACTCCCTTCTACTTTCCTTTGCATCTCCGATGCAGGCAACAGCTTTTCTGTAATCATTAGGGTGTAAAGCTAAACATTTTGGTCATATTTATTGCTTTGGGAAAACCAGCAAGCCCTTCTCAGCAGCAGCAGTAATAAATCTGTTGAGTTACCTCTAGCTTGCTTGCTTGCTGAGGCACTGGATGACATAAGAACAGGTTTTATAGCTCAAAATAGAGGACATTTCAGAATTCTTCCTGGACCTCCGGACATAAGGTTGAAATATAGGACATGTCCCGGAAAAGAAGGACCTCTGATTAACCTGATTCTTGCTTTTCTGAAGTGACTAATCAAGGAGCTTTTTAGAAGCTTGTTCAATGAAGTTATCTGCATCCCCTTTTTATTTTCCACCTTCTCTCTCCACACACCCCACCCCACCCCACCCCACCCCACATCCTATTAAGCCCATTATCTTTATGGCCAACAAGGAAATAAATCTTTGCTGCTATCAGTGCTACATGATCTACTGGAGGGTTTATCTATCAGGCAATGTATCACTTTTAAATTCCATGAAAGGCAATTGGGGGGAGTACTTAAATCCCATAGAAGGCATGTTTATAAACCTAGCAGCAGATTTTATGAGGCATCCCCTCCCTCTAAGATAAAGTCTTGTCCTCAGAATAATTTCATTTATTTATGAATATTTATGCTCCAAGACAAAATGCTGGTAAACATATCTCAGCAATTTAAATTACGCTTAAAGACTCCCTTCCTCTGTTGAATCAAAGAGTAAAATCTGAAGACTTTCTGCCAAATAGGGGAATAAAAAAACTACTTTGTTTATAAGCACATAAGTCATATCTATAGTATATCAATAGTTTTAGGCAATTTGGAAGATTTGTACTTATCACTGTCTAGAACAGGATTGTTACACTCTGTGACTGACAGAAGAATTAAAAGATTTGTAGTAGCTGAGAAGGTGTTAGAAATGTTAAAACCTTGCTCAGTCTTTTCTTCCATCCCTACACTCCAGCTATTCCCGTTAGGAAACTGTTACAAAAATGGCAAGATAATATTTTTAATGTTTTGATGGCATCTACAATGATGTCCTTGGCAAAGAGGAAATTTAGACTTTAAGTAAAGAAACATGGAGAAATTTGGAGGAGCACAAGATATCTGCTTGGCCTTTTAGATACCTGAATGAACCGCAGTGATATATACATATTAGGTAAGAATGAAAAGCAAGTTCAAGTACTTTAAACAAGACCATAATAATAAGTGTTATGGGTTGGAGTTAGCAGCACAGGGGTTCTCAGACTTTTGGGCTACCTAAAACATGACAGCTACATCACTTATGTTTTGGAAAATTGGTTGGTGTGGAGCCATTTGTCTTATTGTATTATATTGTATTGTACTTATATCCTGCACTCTTCTCTCATATGAGACCCAACAATGATTTACATTACAGGATAGAATCCTCTGAAGATCATCAAACTCCAGTGAGAGCAGAAACTTTAATGTTACCTATCAACAGTCCCAAGACAGCAGCAGTGTAATGCAGAAGACCATCATGACATGAGAGGTGATCATCCTGACAGCTCCAAGAACCACAACTTCTTTATATCCTGCTTTTCTGTTACTTATATTCAAAGGAGTTAAAACTATGCTTAAAAGTTCCAGCATAAAATATTGTTGTGTACTTTCAAGTCTTTTCCAACTTAAGGCAACCCTAAGGCAAACCTATCATTGAGTTTTCTTGGCAAGATTTGGTCAGAGGGGGTTTGCCTTCGCCTTCTTCTGAGGCTGAGGGAATGTGACTTACTCATGGTCTCCTAGTGGGTTTCCATGTCTGAGCAAGGATTCAAACCCTGGTCTCCAGGGTTGTAGTCCAATACTCAAACCACTGCACCACACTGGCTCAGCATAAAACTCAGACATTCACAAACAAAAAAGTAAGCCACTAATAAACACTCATAAATAGGTTTATGAGGTCTCAGTTCCATTCTGTGCCTACATTTCCTAAGATTGAGTTCCTCTGACCTCAGTGTGGTTTAATTATGATTTCAAATTCAAGTTGTAACATGAATTGACATTTTATAGAAGATTTTCAACATGCTTAAATACAACATTTTGCTTTTATTAAATATGCAGAAATAATATTGAAGAGAAGTATTACTATAAAAAAGAAAAAAGTCTTGTGGTCCATTTAAGAAGAAAAGTTTTTTTATAGCATTAATTTTCATGGATCACAATCCACTTCCTTGGATAAACAGATCTTAGAAGTTTAGGTATATACGCACAGACCATATGGTTGGAGTTGGGATCAGAGTAAAACTGGAGGGAGAAACTATCGATAATATCAACACCAGCCATTAACTGTTGGCGACAGCACAAAGATCCTAGCAATAAGTTAAAGCAGTGAAGGCATACCAAAAAGATACAGTCTCGTTTTATAAAAGCCACCGTCACTTGCCAACACAAGGTCAATCACCCCGCTGCTCCAACAAATGACATGACAGTTCTAGCTCTGATAAAAGTCCTAGAAGTCACTTCCCCAAAAAAAATGGATGGCAGACCAAGCAGGTCACCAAGCAGCAGATATTGAACTGGTATTAAATTTGTTTAAACTCTAGTAATTTATAAATCTGCAGTTACCATAAACAGTTGTCGTGTGTGTCCCCCCCCAATTCGTGGGGGATCCATTCCAGACCCCAACCCATGAATCAGTAAAACTGCAAATATCCAAGCCCCATTGGATATAATGGCCGCATGTGCCATTTTGTCCCTCCTGACTTCCCATCTGCAGAAATTCAAGACCGCAAGTAGGAAGTCTGCACACTAGGAGGGACGACTGTATACTCATAGTAACTGATAGTAAGTTTTCAGACCAAAATTATGGATTTTGAGATGACTTGTAAATAAGTTGAGGGTAACACTTAGGGGCCTGTAACAAAAGATGTAAAGGACACAGCAAAGAATTTATCACTTACAAAATTCCAGCAGGCATAACTTGTGCTCACCCTAAAGGTTAATAGAGGAGGAGGGAACTACAGCAAATGGTGGCTGTGCGATGTGTTGGGGACATGACCAGGTATAGGAGAGGCTAAGAAAACACACACACATCAAAAAAGGCAAGAGTTAAAGTACAGTATTGACTCTTATCAAGAAAAAGAAACCATCACCTTCTCTGAGTAGAGGGCGAAAGGCAAGAGCTTAGTCCATCCTGGGAGAATATAAAAGAATCACTGTACCCCTCTACTCATTCAGCACTCCTTTGAGGGGAAGCTTCAAAGAGCTGTTGCTGCAATTTTCCTGCCCAGCCATTCAAAAAGACAGACATGGCACTGTAACAGAGAGAGTAGTAGGGATTTAGTGCTTCTTTTAGGTTCTCCCAGGATGGACGAACCTCTTGCCTTTCAATACTCTACTGGGAGAAATGGATGGTCCCTCTTTTCATAAGAGTTAAGGTACAGTGCTTATTTTGATCCATATTTAAGTTTTTGGGGACAATTTTTTGATTAAAATTTCTAGAGTTATACATGAGTACTAGTTCTCTGACAACGCTGGCTCTTTGGCTTAGTAACAGATAAGCACCACCCTGTATTGTCAGACATTACTTGATAACCTTGTAAATGGGGAATACCTTTATCTTTTTACATGAGTATATGCTTGTTGTTCTTAATTGCCCTTGAGTTGGCTTTGACTCTGTGGATGAGACATGTCCAAGCCTCCCTACCCTGAACTTAGGTCCTGTATGTTCAGGTCATGGCATCTCTGATGGAGACTAGCCATCTGACGTATGTTCTTTCTCTCTTTCTGATTCCCTCTAAGTTTTCTAGCATTATAGTCTTTTCTAATGATTCATATAGTCTCACGATGTGGCTAAAATACGACAGGCTTAGTTTTATCATCTGTGGGCCTGAGCAGACGCCGCAAAGCGCCGTTTTTGAGGTGCCCCAATCCCTTCCCGAAAACGTCGTTGGAGCAGCCGGCCTTACGCATGGCCGGCGCTCTGACAACGCACTTCCGCTGCAGCGTCCGCACACGCTGCAGCGGAAGAGGTGCCGAAGGTGCGCCGGAGGCCTTTTGTGGCGCACCTTCGGCATCTTGCAGAAGGAGGGCTATTTTAGTGCTCCTTCCTGGGCCTGGGACGCTGCGCCGCGGGGCCAAAGAGTACAGATACCTCGGCCCCCATCCACAGCTTCCCAGAGCGGCCCCGTGCCGCCCGTTTGCTTCCCCCCTGTGTTTCCAGGGAGATATCAGGTTTGATCTGTTTTAAGACCCATTTATTTGTCTTTTTGGCCATGTATGGTATCCTCAGCACTCTTCTCCAGCATCGCATCTCAAAGGAGTTTTTCTTTCTTTCTAAAGGCTTTCTTCATGGTCCATCTCTTGTATTCATACATGGTGATGAGGAATATGATGGCTTGGACTATTCTAATTCTAGTGGTCAGTTGCATATCTTTTACACTTTAGGATCTTGTCTATTTCCTTCATGGCTGCCCTTCCCATTCCTAGCTTTCTTATTTCTTGACTGCAGTCTCCATTCTGATCAACGTTTGATCCTAGATAAAGAAAGTCTTTATTTCGATTTCCTCATTCTCTGGGTTGAATGTATGTAAATCCTCTGCGGCTACTATTTTTGTTTTCTTTACATTTAGGAGTAGGCCTGCCTTTGTACTTTCTTCCTTGACCTTACTTAGTAATTGTTTTGAGTCTATGGAGTCATCTGCATATCTTGAATTGTTGATGTTCCTTCCTCACATCTTTATTCCTCCTTCTTATGAATATAGATAGATAGATAGATAGATAGATATATACACACTATCATATATGGTGTCCTCTTTCATTCCCTTTTGGGGCTGACACATATAACATATATAACATATAAACCATGGGCAAGCACAGTGTGACCTATAGGGCACACGTGACCCCTGGACCCCTTTTTTGTGGTCCCTGAGGCCTCTCACCAGTCCAACCTGTTCAGTGTCAACCTGTTCAGTGTCATGGGCCAAGAGCTGCAGGACTGGGACCTTGGGGAAGAGTCTGATGAGGAGGCTGAGGGAGGGACCCAAACAAGTCTTCCAGACAGGGAATATCCTGCAGCTTCCTCTGTTGCAGATCGGCCAGCCCTCCCTGCTGAAGAGCTCCAGCCAGATCATCTTGTAGAATTGAAGCCTCAGCCCGCAGGACAAGGGCAAAACTCACCTGCTGATGAGAAAGAGGACACAGCTGGGGCCTTAAGTCCTCAATCAAGGAGGAGGAACAAGAGGATCCAACAAAAGATAGAGTTAAGATGATCAGCCAGGCTGCAGGGTAAGCAGCAAGCAAGCTCTGATTACAACCAATTGGTGTCAGGCTATTTAAGAGCTGAGTTTGTCTAAGGAGTTGCTGGAAGTAACATGTTTATTTCCTGGCCAGCATTCCTATTATCTGTTTCTAGACTCCTGCATTCCTACTTCAGACATCCTGGCTTCTTCAACCTTTGGATTGTGTTGATTTAGATTCCTGTTGCCTCTCTTAACTCAGACTGCTTGACCTACAACTTTCCCTTGACAGACTCTCACAGGCAAAGACACTTTCTATCTGCTTGTAAATAGCTGCCTCTGCCTACATTATCAGTTGGTAGTTTTCTCCCAGCCAGTCGGTGTGGGGGTTTGGTGAACCAGGACATGCAATTTGGGCGATGGGGGTGGCATACTTTTCTGGGCAATTTATGTCCCTAAACTAAACAGCCTCTCAACACACAAAAGCCTGAAAATAGCCCCATCCTACTGCAGAAGCACCCAGAACTCAGTACTACTCAGTACTATTCTCAAATAACTCTTATTTTCCTCCACAGTCTCTCCCATAAATGTTGACAGGAAGTGACCGGACATCGTTTGCCATTTTGAGAGGGACTACAGGAAAGGGCTTGTTGTGGGGTGTGCAGGCTGGAAGGCAGTGGAATCATATTAGCTCCTGGCCCCCATAGTATAAATGGCCATCTTATGTCTGTGGGTGAAAAGCAGACTGAGGGTTGCAGACTGCCAGAAATAGTGCAAATTGAGTCCACTTTTAGGGTTAGGGTTAGTGCTAGGGAATCATGGGAATTGTGTTGTTTTTTTCTGAGCCATTGAGCCTTCTCTGTCAGAGAGCTCTAGTGCCACAATAAACTACAGTTCCCATGATTCCCTAACCCTAACCCTAAAAGTGGACTCAATTTGCACTATTTCTGGCAGTCTGCAACCCTCCTAAAACAATTTAAACAGCTAGGAAAGGGACACTGCCTCCTATTTTTGATTCAGAAAACATCAGCTCTTGCCATAGTCTGTGGAAAGCAGCAGAAATAAAGTCCAGGAGGAGTAAGGGAAGAAGACAGGAGATCTTCCTCCTAGATCCAAATAACAACTAAAAAATATGAAAATTTAGCACTCAGCATGACAGGGAGTGCCATCCCGTCACTGCTCCTTAACATATGTAGGTATCTCTATGATATGCACTGGCCTCAGTGATAACTTCAAATGTTAGGAGACAGAATGAAAAAGCCCAAAGACAACTCCCATCACCAACTGCCCCAGATTCCCCTTACCTAGGGGCATCACTAGCAAGGTGTGTGGGGTGCACACTGCACCAGGACCCTAAGAAGGGGTGACACCACAGCTCCCTTAACATCTGCCCCTTGGCAGAAATGGGATGTTGCATTTGCCTGCATGCCCTTAAAATGCTGAAGAGATGGTGTGAGTGGGGCAAGGCTCAGTGGGAAGAGAAAGAAAGTGTTGTTGTTTTTTAAATTTAATTTAACATTTTAATTTTAAAAAAATATATTTTTAAATTTTTCTTTTAAAACATCACATCTTACCAAATTTTCAGTTTGCCACATGAAACAATATACATTTAAATGCACTTGGGCTGTGTATATGATACTGTAATTTAAAG